TGCTTAGCATCGCTGAGCAGCTGTGCGCCCTCTGACATGATGCTTTCCAGCTTAGGGCCAAGCGAGGTGACGAAGAGCTGGCTCATGATGAAACCTTGACCATCGGCCAGCGTGTGATGGCCGCGAATTACACAGGCACTCTTAGCACCGCTCTCTTCATCGACGAAGTTCTCTAGAACAGCCGTCTCCCAGAGCGGACGAGAAAAGTCCCAGCCCTGAGCGATAAAGTCGGAAGCGAAGCTCTCCAGCTCTCGCTTGCCAGCCTTGCCCGGCAAAGTGTGTGAGCGCACGTGATGGTCAATGTCAAAGTTGGCGTCGTCGATAAAGATGCTACCGTGGAAAAAGCAGCCAACGTCGGCGAGCTTTTGGGTGTATTTGGGGAAGTGACCAATCTGACGCATCATCGAGTCTTTGAGGTCCTGCAGCTTGGCAGGCTCCTTAAAAGTATAAGTGGCAGTGCAGACGGGATTGAAAGCGCTGACACCGTCCATGAGCAACCACATGTTGTCCAGACCGGCAATGGCGTTGACTCGGCTGTAGATCTCCCATTGGATGAGACGCTCGATCTGGTTAGCAGCCTTGATGGTGCTCTGGGCTACGCGTTCAAGGAGGCCACCCTTGCGCTGCTCAGCGAGCTTTTGGAGAGCATCTTCAGTGCGCTCTACGGCGTTGTGAATGGCGGCGCCCAGGGTGGGTGTGTTGTAGCCGGATTCCCAGGGACTCTCGTCGAGCGCAGAAGCAACACCAGGGAAGAGTGGGAAGAAGGTCTTGCTGGCCAAAGAAGAGCTGCAATTAGCTTCACCATTGCCGTTGCCGTTGGTGATGCCATTCATTCGTGCAAAGCGACAAGAAGATTGCAATTTGGAGCTGTCTTGGGCTGATCTGTTGGCGCCCTCGAACTTGACCGTCTTGCCGTTTGCTTCCGCGTTGGCAGCTGCACCCGCACCCGAGCCGTTGTCCTTTGCAGCAGGGGACCAAGGGTCTGCTGGAGCAGATACTGCCGCTGTCGTTGCCGCCATCTTCGCAGGCCCGAGAGGTTTCTTTTTTTTGCGGTCGAGGTGGAGCAGCTGCTGGGTCGGGTTACTGTGGAAAACAGACTGGTGGCTGTCGAATTTGTCAAGGTCTAATCGAGAGGTGGTGTAGGTAAGGTCGAGAAGTGTGGCGAGAAGGTTCGATTCAGGCCACAATCATCATGGACGGGCGAGAATGGAATGGGAATCGAATGGGAATCGAATGGAGTCCTTCTATAGTAGCGACGTAGTTAGACTGATGAAAGCTTAAGGGGAAACATCTGATCCTGTGTGAGAGTAGGGTGTCAAGGAAGCGAAGGAAGCGAAGAAAGGGGGAGGGGGAACGTCATCGATTGAGAAGTTCGGCTATGGATTCAGGATCAAAAAAAAAAAGATCTCCCGATTTAACATTCACTGGGTCAAATCTCTTTGTGGAGGTCCATTTTAGAAATGTTAGCTCGCCGTCTCTAACAAACGTCACTCTAGTGTCAACACCCAAGAGCCGAGTTCCGCGTGTTGGAAATAGCGCGTTCGGCAATTCGCATTGACGTTGTTGCTCCATCCTTCTCATCCTGTTCTTCTGTACTCTTCACCCTCATCATATCCCCCGCTATCCACAAATATCACAGCCACTGATTGACGAGACGAGAGGTAGTATTGTGCGCTGGAGACCTACTACTGCGTATCTTGTCTGCACTCTTAGAGGCAGCGCAGCATATAATCTAGATTTCCGTCAAAGCACGGCACAGACACCAGAATGCCCACTCCATCCGCGACGGCAGCGGACGACAAGGCGGTTGCCGCTGACCAGGAGCAACGAGGCACAGACAAACCCGAACCGGCGGCAACACCCACACCTAAGAATGCTTCGACACCTCTTCCGGGAACTGCATCCGGCTCAGCTCCGGCAAACGAAGCTTCAGCAGGGAGCGTCTTCAGCAGTCCCGACATGACAGCTGCTGTGCTTGCATACCTTCATAGACGCGGCTTTGATCGAGTCGAGGCTGCTTTCAAAGCTGAACTTTATGCGCTTGCTTCCGGTGCGAGCGCAGAACAGGCCGCTGCTGCAGCTGACTTGCTCGGACGCGCACCCACAGTTGGCCTCGAAGATCTGGCAGTGAAGAACGCACCGCGCACGCTTGCAGACAAGGACGGTGAAAAGGACAAAGACGGAAAGGATGGGAATGATGTAGAAAGCAAGGACAAGGGCAAGGACAAGGACAAGGACAAGGACAAGGACAAGACAGCGGCCGTCGCCGCGGATGCAGATCTTACTTTCGCAGAGGATGGGGATGTCTCGGCTGCAGCAACACAAGCACTTCTGCTCGACCCAACCGATAGTGCAAGAGGGTTCGCTATGCTCAAGTCATGGTGTCAGGGAAGTCTCGACATTTATCAGCCTGAGCTGCTGCCCATCCTGCTACCACTTTTCATTCACTCCTTCCTCGATCTGGTTCTAATGGGTCACGGTCCAGCTGCTTCGGCACTCTACACAGCACACGCCGCATCCTTCCTGCCCACGCATACGGCACTGCTTTCTCAGATTCGCTCGCTCGCACTGCCATCGCACATCCAGTCCGACCCTCTCGCACAACGCTTTCGCTCGGAACGATACGTGGTCAAGATGTCCAATACCGTCTTTAGTCTTCTCCTTGGTTGGCTTACTGATGGAGGCGGACCGGTCTCGGGCACAACAAATGGGCTCGAGGAAGCAGAGGCGCCTGCAAGGCGAGGCAGGGAGGCCATGCTCAAGATCATCAACGAGCGCTGTAGGATTCAGCTTCTCGCTGCACAGCCATACCAGTTCGACGTTGTTGTGTTGGAAGAAGGCACAGGTTTGACCGGTGCAGGGCCGACATACTCGAGTGTGACCACAAGCGCAGCAGGTCGAAGTCGTATCCACTCATCGCTGGCCAAGTATGCGGTCTCGGGGGCAGATGCGCTAGCTGTATTCAATGCCAAAGCCGCTGGTCCTCAGCTTAAGCTGCATCCATCTGTGCCTTTGACGGAAAGGCTCGAGAACGAAGTGCAGAAGGAACTGCAGCAAGTCGATCGTCGCGAAAAGGAGACCGTTGCCGCTGTGCAGGCAGCAGAGGCAAAGAGCAAAGAAGCCGAGGCATCTGCTTCGGCCACTACCACTACGCAAGAGGGCGGTGAAGAAGGCAACACCAGCCAGCAGCAGCAAGACGGCGACACCACAATGCAAGATGCCGCCGAGGGTAATACTGCCGAAGATGCCGATGGATCTGGCAGGGCGAGAACAACGTCAGTACGACCATCCGAGCCGCCATCATCAGCTGCTAGCCCTGCTGCTCCTACTGCTGCCGATGCCAAAGCTAGTGCCTCCTCTGGTCCTGACTTCTCTGTCGGTCTTCTAGCAGCTAGCATCACCGATATGCCACCACAAGCACCCACCTTCCGCACTGTCGATGTCAAGCGCGAGGTGCAACGCGTTCGCGACGCTCGCAAGCGCATCCGTCTCGACCCTTCTCTAGTCAACGGATCTGGATCGACATGGTCGACCTTGAGCTTCACGTCGGGTGTACGTGATCCCAGTGTCAACGCTCTAGGCGAGCAAGGCGCTCACGCTGCTCGAGTTGCCGCGCTTCCCTCAGTGTGCGCTTATACCTTTCACGATGCCGATGACGGCATCACATGCTCCACCTTTTCCGACGACATCACTCTGATGGCCGCTGGCTTCGAAGAGTCTTTCGTCCAAGTCTGGTCGCTCAAGGGCGAGAAGCTGCGCGGCATTCGCGGAAACCCGAATCTGTCGTCAATTCGGGACAGCAAGACACTGGCGAGGCAGCGAGAAGCCGAATGCTACTCAACACGTCGATTAATCGGCCACTCGGGGCCAGTCTACGGAGTTGACTTTGACCCTGTTGGTGGGTCGGCATCCGCACCGCGACATTTGCTGAGTTGTTCAGCCGATGCAACAGCGAGATTGTGGAGTCTGGACACGTACAGCGCGCTAGTCGCCTACAGAGGCCACCAGCATCCAGTGTGGGATATCAAGTGGAGTCCGATCGGAACCTACTTTGCCACCGGTAGTGCGGACAAGACAGCACGTCTGTGGAGCACCGAACGTGTCAATCCCTTGCGAATGTACGCCGGCCATCTTTCGGACGTCGACTGTCTTACCTTCCACCCGAACAGCTTGTACCTTGCTACAGGTTCGTCTGACCGGAGCTGTCGATTGTGGGATGTACAACGTGGTGCTTGTGTGCGACTTTTCGTTGGACACCAATCACCGATCTCCTGTCTGAAGATCAGCCCAGATGGTCGTTACCTTGCCTCAGCAGCAGCTGGTAACGGTACAGCATCCCAATTTGTTGGCGTCGACGGCGTAGACCGCATCTCGAGAGGAGCGCACATTAACGATGTCTCCATCTCACTGTGGGACCTGGCAAGCGGACGAAGGATCAAAAAGATGTGGGGCCACAGCGAACGGATCTATTCGATGGACTTTTCCGCCGATGGTTCATTGTTGGTGACGGGCAGTGAGGACTGTAGTGTAAGATGCTGGGATGTTCGATCGGTAGGAGGTGTAAGGAAGACACCCGCAAAGGGATCGTTGGAAGCTCAGCAAGCGTCAGCAGCAGCAGTAGCGTCAGCAGCAGCAGTTAATCAGACCAGCGGAGGAGATCTGACGAACACGAGTGCTGATTGTGTGGCTACATTCTACACTAAACGTACACCTGTGCTGGATGTACACTTTACTCCGCGAAATCTTTGCCTCGTTGCGGGTGTCTACGAGGATTGATGGAACTGCTTCTTGGTTGTAGTCTTACCCTTCGTATCTTGCTTACCACAAAGCTCGGGCGTACATGTCCATCTTGTGTCTCGTGTGGCTTATTGAGATAGTCCGGTTGAGAACTGGTCCGTGAAATCTATCCGAGCCTCTTAGGGCAAGGCTGCAAGTCGAACTTGTTCCGATTTTGCGTAACTAGTTAGGTAGTCTAATAATGCTTGTATGAATACGAGCGAGCGTCGGTCGTATAATGGTTATTATTCCTGCCTTCCACTCATGATAGATTGTAACTCGATAGCAGGAGACAGGGGTTCGATTCCCCTCCGACGCAGCTTTTTTTGGTTCCTGTTTTTTGTTGTTGTTGTTGTTGTCCAATCAAACTTTCGAGTTCAGCTGAGTGGTGACAGCTCTCGTTGGGGGCGGCTTCGATATTCTGTTCCCCTAAGTTCGCACTGATGGCTACAAGAGTGGGAGATGAGAAAAGTGATCCATGCTTCTCTGAGAGAAAATGGAGAGGACAAGGTGGATGCTCGGGCCTCCTTTGAGTTGAGCAAGGGTGAGAGACGCGCGCGTACCTTCTCTCTGTCGAAGGATCTTGCGCTTTTTCTTGTTTCTCTGTCTCATTTGGCGTCTCTGGCGTGCGTTTTGGTTTTAATTCGCGCTGGGCCCAGGGTGAAGGCGTTGATTTTTGCTGCGTCTCGAAGTGTATTCATTGCTTCCGAACTATTCCTCAAATCCCGAAATACAACAAGCGCGACTTTTGAAAAGGGGATTTTGGAAGTGGTCACTAAGCCTGATTACAAAAGCAGAAAATATTGGTATTGGCTCTCGGGGACTGTAATTGCAACTTGAATTCCAGGGTCGCGTGGATACAAACTGCTGCGTGCTTGTAGACTTGGGCTGAACAAATTTTCAAGTGTTGGTGTGCCTCTTGTCGTGCTGGCTGTGATTTGGAATACATTGTCGTCTTCAGCTCAACTGCCTCTCAATCTTGGCCTGCGCTTTCGCGACACAAAACAGCAGCAGAAGCAGAGAGCGCGAGACAGAGAGACAGAGAGCCTGAGAGAGAGTGTGCAAAAAAACTAAAAACTCGACCAGCGCGGCTCAGCCAAGGAATCGCAACTCAAAGCAGCTCGCCACCGCAATTGCCAGTCTATCAGCTCGTCTTGCAAGCTGATATTGACCTCTTGCTCACCCATCATCCTCCTTGCACCCATCATCCTCCTTGCACCCCTACACACAAGCTGTGTTTCGTCTGTCGCACCACTCAACCTCCTCCATCGCGGCTTGACATCCTCACAGCAAATCACACTGACACACATCACATAGCCTCAGGTCTCGGTTCTTTTATCGACCTCTTATCGAAACCTCTTTCCGGTCAGCTTTAGGCCTTTCCTTGCTTTCTTCGTTTACGATCTTTTCTCTCATACGCACGACACTCCTTGCACCCGTCCACTTGGCCCTCTCTACCAGCTGTAGGCCTCAACGGATCAGCATACTTACGCCTTCCGACCGCATTTCCCATCCGGCCTATCGCTGCTGCCGAGCTATCTCTCAGTTTAGCTTGCATACTAGATCAGCGCCGCGCACTTGGTCCCATCTTCAGCACCCTTTGCCATCTTTAGCGCTGGCAGTGCCTTCAGAAGCAGCTCGCTTGTTTCTCTCGTAACTTTGGCCTTCCCTCTTTCTGCAAAGCTCCAGCACATCAAGCTAGCATCGAGCTTCTTCTCTTGTCCGTAAGTAATCGACTCTCATGTGCTCTCGAAAAAGCATGTCGCCATGTACCTGTAGCCAACGATTAGAGATCATGGTTCGAATCAGCACTCCCAGCATCCTCCGCTCAGGCTCTTATCGCCTCGCATCCGAAGCGAAGTACAACATTGCCAACTATCTGCTCCACCTCGCGAGCTCATTGCTGGTCCTCACCTTCCAGTTGGACTACTTCCCCGCTCCCTTCTCCAGTGGAGCAAGCAATTGCGTCAATCGCAGTGCCGCTTGCTTGTCTCGATCTTGTAGACCTCCACACGACCCGGCAATGCGATCTTCAACAGCTCTGCCGCCACCAAAGTCTCCACGATCAACTGGGCTCATCATTCTGACACACTCCTCACTACTTTCTTTCCCTTCTTGTCCATTCCTTGATCACCGTATATGCACTCGCTCTTCCACCGTACCACCGACGCATCTTTGGCTATACATTGCAAATCCTTGTTCCCCATCACATATCACCCCACTCAACAGGCCGCTCACCACGTAGCACAATGGCCGACAACACTACCCCCGAGGTCGATCTCGACAATGTCATCGACCGTCTCCTAGAGGTCCGTGGCTCGCGTCCTGGCAAGCCCGTCCACCTCGAAGAGTACGAGATCAAGTACCTCTGCTTGAAAGCAAGGGATATCTTCATCAACCAGCCCATCCTTCTCGAGCTCGAGGCACCCATCAAGATCTGCGGTGATATCCACGGCCAATATTACGACTTGTTACGTTTGTTCGAATACGGTGGCTTCCCTCCCGAGGCCAATTACCTCTTCCTCGGTGACTACGTCGATCGTGGGAAGCAGTCTCTCGAGACCATCTGCCTTCTGCTCGCATATAAGATCAAGTATCCCGAAAACTTCTTCATTCTCCGCGGCAACCACGAGTGCGCCAGTATCAACCGCATTTACGGCTTCTACGACGAGTGCAAACGTCGTTTCAACATCAAACTCTGGAAGACGTTCACCGACTGCTTCAACTGCCTCCCCATCGCCGCCATCATTGACGAAAAGATCTTCACCATGCACGGTGGTCTTTCACCCGATCTCCAAAGCATGGAGCAGATCCGCCGCGTCATGCGACCAACCGACGTACCAGACACCGGCTTGCTCTGCGATTTGCTCTGGTCCGATCCCGACAAGGACATTTCCGGGTGGTCAGAAAACGATCGTGGTGTTTCCTTCACATTCGGCCCAGACGTCGTTTCGCGGTTCCTGCAAAAACACGATATGGATCTCATCTGTCGAGCGCATCAGGTCGTCGAGGATGGTTACGAATTCTTTGCCAAGCGACAGTTGGTCACATTGTTCTCGGCGCCCAACTATTGTGGAGAGTTTGACAATGCAGGTGCAATGATGAGCGTCGACGAGACACTCTTGTGCTCCTTCCAGATCTTGAAGCCAGCGGAGAAGAAGCAAAAGTACGCATATGGTGGAATCAACATGGGTCGTCCCGTCACACCTCCCAGAAAGCAGAAGAAGAAGTCAGATGGCAAGTAGAACGTGTCGTTGCAGGTTACAGTGCCCGGCGAGGGGAAACGAGCGGGGGAAGGCAACCAGCAGCTACAGGCCAGGCAAGCAGGAGCGCGAGACGCACCCATCTGGGCTAGAAGGCATCTCATCACAAGCAACCCGTCATTTGGAATCGTCCCACAAATTTGTGTGTGTGTGTTAGGCGACCGGCTGGGCTCGACGAGTGTTGGCGCCTTAGGACTCCCTCTCAGCACGGATGGCCATTTGCACAGTAGATCGCAGGGCCTTAATTGCTGGAGAGCAATCCCACTACCTCTCGGGCTTCATCTGCAATACACGACGGTAGTCTCGCACAGACTTGGCTCGAGTTGACAACCTCGAAGCTGTCTTTGTCTTTACAGTGCGAGTTTCAAAATGTCCTCTACCCAAGAATCGCTTTCTCCCTTCTCCTTGCCTATCTACTCCCTGCCTGATGCTCACTCTACCTTGACTCTGCTTCGCTACCAACCTGACTCTTCTCAAAGCCGCGCTGTCTCTACTTGCCCCTTTACCCACCATTCCTCTTTTCTTTCTTTTCTTTCTTCGATGTCTCGTTTGTTCGTTCACCTGATAACAATGTGGTAGCACGTTACCAATGCAATTGCGAATCTTAAATCCTCTTATCTTGCTCTGCCTTGGTGATGCGGGATTCACTCTGAGCGTGTGTAAGACCACGGAGGCATGAACAAAGCTCGAATGCATTGCTTTGCATTGCTCTGCATTGATCTGCATTGATCTGCATTGCTCTGCGTTGCTTTGACTTGCAACAAGCGGGTGTGGGAAGATGTGAAAGAGTGAATCTACTTGCTACCGCGAATCACGAACGAAACCAGCATGGTGATTGGCAAATTTCGACCCCAAACCCTATGACAATACTGGCTTATACTATCCTCTCCTATCCCCGTCACGGGAACTACTACTACCAACAAGACCCCAACCAGGCGCATTGCTTTCCACACTTTGCTGCCACCGACTGATCAAACTCGACACACCATTATATCTATCCCCTTCCACTCTCTCATCCTCTTGTCCTTCTCGAACACCATCTATGTCACCTTGATCTTCGTCTGCGGTGTGAAGACGAGCAGTAGAAGCAGCAGGAAGAGCACTGTTTTTTACAATACTACCCCGGGTTGCTGCAGCTCGGAGTGCAGCTTCACGTTCCCAGGGTTTGCTTAAGCCTGCACTACGTAGGTCAGCGGACTTGTTCGGACGGATAGGCGTGGGTCGTTTGAGCGCTTGGATGATCGTTGGCTCTGACTGTGAGGGTCGGTCTGAAATCGTGGAGGAATGGCAAGAACGGTACGAGACGAGTGTTGATGCTCGGATCGGCTTTGGCTCCTGTGCCTGCTGTGCCTGCTTGGTAGTTGGTGAGGTGAGAGAGAAGGACGAAAATCCATCTTTGACAGTGTCGACTGAGGTTTGCGGTGAGGTAGAGGTAGGGGATACAACTGAGACGGGAGATGTAGCCACTTCTACTAGCTGCTTCTCCTTCTTTTCAGGAACAGGCGCCGAGGTGGACGATTCAGGGTGCCAACGACCTGCGATGCCTGAAGAACTCTGTAAAGGCTTATGTGTCAACAGAGCAGTCTGCGACTCAGACTGCGACTCCGGCTTACCACCGCTCTTGGACAGAGTCACAGGTTTGGCCATGATCTCAGGCTTGGACAAAGCGCTCCTCTCCTCTTGCATATCCTCATCGTCATCGTCCCAAGCAGGTGCTTTCATCTTGGCCACACTTGTCACCGATGAACACTCTTCACCTTTCTCCTTCCCTTTCCCCTGCTCCCCTACACCATTAGTAGCAGGTGTTTCGTCAGCAGACCCACGCAACAGCTCCTCTAGTTGATCCTGTGCCTTTCTTGCCGCCTCATCTAGTTGTTCTGCTGCTGTAGCATCTGTGATCGGCGAGACAAGTTCGCAAGCCGCCGACTTTTCCGGTTGCGAGGTGATTGAGGTAGAGGTTATCAGTCTCTCCGCTGCAGTAGGGGAATCTACTGCGTCGACAAGCCAAGATGGAGCCTTGACTCGGCCGGGAGTGATGCGTGGTCTTTCGGGTTTG